GTGTGTGAAGGCATGTGTGAGTGTGAGTGACATGTTGATCAGCCTTATCCTTGCTCACACTAACAGTGGCCCATCCTTTTCCCCCTATTTAAAGATAGGCACTATGTTAGCCCTTCTCCAGTCCCCTGGGACCAGCCTTATTTTGGCTTGCATTTAGCTGCCCAGGAAAAGGTTAAAATGAGCTGCTCTGAAATCACAGTCAGGGCTGCTCCGAAAGTGAACTTGGTTCAGAAACTGATTGAAACGAACCCGATGCGGCTTCTGGAAGTTGACGTGACCTGCAATCCTGGGGTCTCACGTCCACTGTTGCTCAGTTGTTTGTGCCAAAGATTGCTGAGAGTTTAGGGCCAGAAGGGACCGTTCGATCATCTGATCCGACTCCCGTTCACACATGCCACTAAATTTCATCCGTGAACTTGTTTTAGACTGAGTACTCAGGAAATTATGTACCGCAAGCAGAGAACAAGAGACCAAGATGCTGAGGTCTCAGCAGTGGCACAGAATTGATTGGGTGGGATGTTCTTTGGTGATGCCAGGAGGTCATAGTCATCTGTGTGTTCAGTTTTTAAACCCCTCCATGCTGCAAAGGAATGTGAGCCTTTCCTCCTGGGACACCTGGAAAAATATGCCTTCCTCGCTCCAAATCTGTTGATTAACTATGCACATGACAGCGAGTCTCACTAGTCAAGCGTCTAAGAGCCTGTTGCAAGGTATAGATAGCCAGTGTTTTATTTGGCATGCAGTAAGCATTACTGTGCTGCATTAAAGGTTAGAGCATGTTCTAAGCAGTCGCACGATAATATTTACTATGATTTCAGCCCACTCTGGATAGGGTTGGAGCCAGCTGTGCCCCCTTCCCCAACACTGACCTCAACACAGGACACTGCAGCTCACACATCCACCTGGGAGGACATGCAACCCCTATACATGGCGCCTGTGCCTTCCCTGCACATGCCCAGCACCGCCTAGCTGACTAGTGCCTCCCTTGGCATGCCTGGGAGAGCTGGGTCTTTGCCCCTAGCAGTCTTGATCCTATTGATCCAAGCCAACCTGTGTTGGCAGCCAGTTCAAGACTCCAGTCTGATGCTGGAGCTGGGACCCACAATCAGTTGATTGCCAGGCGCATGCTGGCACCTCATTGCAATCTTGAACTCGTATTATCTCCGTGCAGCAGGCCAGCAATAGCTGAAGATATTTTAATGAACTCCGGAAATATTCCTCCCACAAAAAGTCATAACTTTGCTAGCACAGGATTCCACTTTGCATGTGTTTTACTGCTTGAACTCATGGACACTTGTGCTTTAAGTGCAGCTAACGCATCCTAAGTATGATGTGCGACACAACCTAGAGAATTCCCTGGACCATGCCTGAGAGCTCGTCTACCTCTTTCAGTCCTTGGTGTTTTCCCCTTTCCCTGTATGCAATGAATGCCAGCAGCCTCTGGAAGGAAATCCTAACTAAGCCTCATCTTGCTGTTGCTCAGCAGACGCGTGGCCAGCACTTCTCAATGCAGCCGCTGCCAAGGAAGACACATGTTGGTCACCCCACGTGCAACAGTGCACGCAACAGGCTTTTGGACAAGGGATGGGGGAATAACCTCTACTCACACCTGTTAGCATGCAGGTTGTTCTGCCAACTGCTGATATACATGGGATTGGATCTGGCCCAGCTCTGGGTCTTCCAGAAAGAGGCAAGGCTTGTTTGGTGGCTGGCGAGAGTTGTGTTTATGCTAATAAGGTGAAGGCAAGAGGTAGGATGGAGTGCGACATAATATCACTCTTATCAGCCTGGTCCTAACTACAGTATTTTCTGTTGCAGGGTGATCTGCAAAGGACAAATATTCAGCTAGATTTTGGAGATGGTATCGCCGTGTCCTATGCAAACTTCAGCCCGATAGAAGACGGCATCAGGCATGTGTATAAGAGTGCTGGGATCTTCCAGGTGACAGCATATGCAGAAAACAGCCTGGGCTCTGACACCGCTGTCCTCTTCCTACATGTGGTCTGTAAGTAGATGAGGGTGCTAAATACTAGGGGCAAAATTGTAGCTCCATTGACATCAATGGCAACGCTCCCATTAGCTTCAGCAGGGTCAAGATTTCACCCTAGGATCTATCTCAGTCGTGCAGAGCCCAGAGTTGTCTGCAGTATCCACCTATCCTGTAAGGCGAACCCAACTGAGCTCTTTTAACTGGCGTTCAAAAAATCAGCTCTATTTCTTTCTCTCTTATTTTTTTAATGTCACAACATCGTTCCTTCCCCATTTTCACTTTTGGCCAGCCCTGACAATAATGAAACGCCATGAGATGTGCGCTATATGGAAATGAAGCTGGAATAAGCCAGAGAGAATCTTGGGCCCATGAATTTCAGATCTATGACATTTTCCAGGTCGGCTTCTGGGGGGGCCGAAAAACCAAACTTCTGGAGGAGCACTGCAAGTGCCCAGACCTAAACGCTACCTTTTGCGTCTTATTGCCATTATGAAATATTTACATGCAAATAAGTGGCAAGAAATAATTAACCAGTGTTCCCATGTTTTTTGTTTTATTGCAAGTCTCATGCCTGCAGCTGGCTGGGAATTTTCCATCAAAACGATTTTTCAACATACAATGCAGTTTCCACACAATCTCGTTTTTCTGTATCTGGAGTATTTATTTATTTTTGCTTTTGGATTTTCTTTTTGGGAAAACTGGAACAGAAGGATTTCCTTTCATTTTGCTGTGACAGGAATCAAGGCAGCTTGGTTTGTTATATAGAACCAACGCCTTTTGATCTAAGGCATCTCAATGTTGAACTGCCTCAGTCTACAGTGCTGCCGTGCTCTGCTGAGACGCCCAATGGTTGAGGACTTTGGTCCACCTCTGCTAATGCATTACAGTCTCAATGCACTGAGCTGCAGGAGGCCTTATGGGAGACGCAGTCCAGCCAGACACCCTGTCCCAGAGAGGGGGAATGAAAGCATGAGGCACATCTAAAAATTAGAGCGTTTCTATGGCATTGTGACACTTCAGCAGACACGATTCGTTGCTGAAAAGACTCGAAACAAAACACTTCAGTGTTTCCATTTTGGAAATTGTAATTTTAGTTTCCCAAAAAAAATGTCAGTGTTTTGATGTTTTGGCCCGATTACCTGATAGACACAAATATAGGACTTGGCATGTCCAGCAGGAGGGAAGTTTGTGTTCAACATGACACATGATATTTGATTTTTTTTTTCCTTTTAAATTCTCAGTTCTTGCAGTCATGTGAATATAGGAGAATCTTGGCTTTTGCTTTTAAATAGAAAGTACATTTGTCGCCCATGTGGCAATGGCAAAGAAGAGCTTGAAGCCATCGACCGAGCATGCTGCAAAGGCATTTAAACGAGAAAGCAAATAAAATGAACTTTAATAGTATTTTAAAATGCATTATTAAATACCGTGACTTTTAAGTCAATCTAATGATTTTTGGGTTCCTGATTCATGATTGTTTGAATACTGGGGAGGGGTGTGGGGGGGTGTTGCAATGCTGATTAAATAAAGCAAAACCATTATGCCTAGCACATTTATTGGGACATTAATATTAATAATACATGAGTACTTATATAGTGCTTTTTATATTTAATGTGTTTGACAGGCATTAGCTACTTTTACTCTCACAAATGCACATCAAGTAGGTAAATATGATTAACCCAAATTATCTATGAGAAATCGCAGGACTGGAGCCCTTCAAGTGACTTTCTTGGAACCTCTTTAGCACAGGATGCTGGGGAGGCCAGGAGCGTAACTGGGTTCAAAAAGGGATCAGATGCATTTATGGAGGACAGGTCCATCAGGGGCTATTCAACCTAGCGGATAGTGATGCCCTCTCCTACTGATGATGAGGAGGGTGTGAGAGCAGTTGGATCATTCCTATATGCCCTGGGTTTCACATTCTTTCATTAAAACATCTGCAGTTGGCCACCACTGGGGGCAAAACGTATCTCTGGTCTGAACCAGAAGAGCG